ACAGTGTCGAAGGCCTTCCGAAAGTCCAGAAGGACTATGTCCACTGCTACACCTGCATCTAAGGATTTGGTGATCTGGTCATGAAAGGCCACCAGAATTATTACGATGTGTTATATCGGTAGGTGAACACAGCTTAGGTTTGCCCTCAGATTTTGCTGGTTATGCCATGCTGTGATTCTGTTTAGAATTATTCATTTATGCAGGTAGAGGGAACAAATTCTTATTCCACAAAGTAAAATGTCATAATTGTGTAGGATGCTTTCTAGAGGAGAATGTTGTAAATCAGGGGTTGGCAACCCCTGGAATGCATGCCAAAGCATGGCATATGAGACCATTTTGATCAGCACACTACAGGTGGCCCAGGTTCTGGACATTTGCTACTGGCCACAGAGTTGGGGCTGCTTGCAGCGGATGGCAGGGAGGCTGCAAGCCCTGCTACAAGCAGCCTGGGCTCTGTGGCAGGCAGGAGCTGCCAAGAGCCTGGGCTGGCTGTGGCAGGCAGCTGGGAGGCTGGAAACAGCTGCATCATACTCTGTAGCCCTGGCTGGGGTCCATGACAGTGGTGGCTGCACACATACCTCAGGGCGCAAGGCTGGGAAGGGGTCTGGGGCAGTGCAACCCTGGCCTTTGCCCTGCTGTGTGCCCCAAGGCGTGTGTGCCGCTGCCATAGAACCAGTGCCAGGGCTCTGGAGCCCAGCTGGAGCCTGGTGCAGCTGTTTGCAGTGTCCTGGCTGCCTGCCACAGCTGGCCTGGGCTCTGAGAAGCTGCATCAGGCAGCCGGGAGGCTGCAAACAGCTGAATCGGGGTCTGGAGCCCCAGCACCGGCTCTGTGGCAGTAATGGCTACATGTGCGCCTTAGAGCACATGGCAGGGAAAGGGCTGGGGCAACACAATCTGGGTTTCTGCCCTGCCGTCTGCCCAGTGGCATGCATGCACTCATTGCCAGCAATGAGGATGAGGCCCCTGGTGGCTCCCCCGTCATGCCAAGTTGAGGCGTGGGCCAAGGTTGGGGTGTTTTTGACACTGGCCAAAAATGTTGCTGACCTGTGTTGTAGATTAAATCAACCTCAGCCTTCTTCTTGACTTGTCTCAGATGAGGATGGGGCTGATCTAAAAGCCGGGGAACAACTGTGATGTTGTCAGAAGTAAAAAGAAAAACAAATCTTGTGAAATTGCTGAGCTGTGGGACACAAGAAGATCTCTACTGTGTTTTACTAACTGTTCAACATATAGTCTATCAGCTGCATTTTTAAGCAGTTTTATGCCTAGGGGAGTTCACGTATTAAATCCATTTTGCTTCCAGCTGGATTTACTGTACTGGGCATTCACTTCATGGGAGCTGACAGTACTGAGCAGTTCCCAGGTTTGACTTCTTGTCTAAAGCCTCAAGTCAAGCTACTGGTCAAATGCTGTGGATTATAATTGTGTAATATAAAAATTGAACAGAAGTCTGGATATTTAGGAAACTACACAAATTAAACTTGCAACTTAAGGGAATTTGATTCTTTCAAATACTGCTTGCATGTATTTCCAGTAGACATAGTTGCTTCTGCTTATTCGACAGCTCCATCATGTACGGCTGCGTAGCCCTGATGAAAGTCACTGGACAGCTTGGAGGGGATTTTTACTTTACTGATTGTCTCTTATTTGGTGCCATCGTATCAGCCACCGACCCAGGTATCTTGGAGTGTTACTATTTTTCTCATGTGTTACTGACATACTGTTATAATTCTCTGAACTACCCTTCCCTCCAGCTTTCAAAGGATAGTGCAGAGCATCCTACAGTGCTGGGGGAGTTCAGAGGTCAGGGTGCCATAGCAGTGCAGTACAGTAGGGGAGTCTGTGGCCAGGGAGCTGAGGTTGAGGCAGGCTAGCTGGGTGCATGGTTCGGGGGAGTGTGTTTTGTGGCCCTGGGGATCAGTAGCTGGAGCTCACATGGCCCACACTAGCGCAACCTATGGGAGGTGTGGCTCCCAGCTGCTTAGAAATTGGACAGTGCTGAATTAGTATCTGAGAAGCAAAGGCTTCCTCCAAAGCTGAGCATTTGCACTGGAGTCATTAGGAATCTTTTGTTGCCTTTAATGAGCATTTGGGGAGATGACAGTGAATGGTGGATCCAGCGCCCTTGGCAAACAGTGCGCTGTGTGAAGTTGGGGTGTTTTCAGCATGCATCTGACAACACATCTTTCCTCAAACTGACATGTGGGTGTGTGTGAAACTGGCTTTACTGCTGTAAGGACAGTGGTGATTGCAAATCAGAAGCACTATGCAGAAGTGCATGGTGGGGGCAAGTGAACAGGAGAGCAAACAGGGCAGTTATAAGGCAGCTCACCAGGGGAGGAGGGGGAAGGTAAAAGGAAAATGAGCAGGATCTGGTTGCCAGCCCCTGGAAGGTGAGTGCAGTAACCAGACGTCCTACCAGCTCCATGACACTCAGTCCTGACTGGCTCCAGATCCACTGAGTATTCAGTGTTCACCTAAGATCTCCAGCATCATAAACACTCCTCAGTGAATTGGGGAAGTCCTCTTTAGCATTTATTTAATGTATGTCCATACTTGTATATACAGCTATGAATAAGCAGCCCAGTATTGCTAATGCCCTGTTACCCTAATACAAGTATTACCTGACACAAACAAAGAACGCAGTAAAAAATAGATACCACTAGTGGCTCTTTACAGAAAACAAAGGGAAGAGCCACCATGGCTTGTCTCTGACCGTACTAGCTACATCGCTCCCTTGTGTGCTGTTCGCTACAGAAGCGGGCTTGCCCAGATGTGCCAGCCTGATAGGCCATCTAGGTTGTGTGGTCCTTTGGCCTTGATCATCTTATCCATCCATTATGTCCCTCATTAAAGAAATAAAATTAAAAATAAGTGGTTGTCTCATTTTGTAATAATGCTTCAAAACAACATTTTGCAATAGAGCAGCTACATTTTTCGGATTGTTGTTCTATATATTGTAGTAGTTTTAATTTAGTTTTGATTTAATGTTAAATCCACAGTCATCTGGACAGCCGCTCATCAATAAAATATTTTGAGAGTGAACTTCAACTTTCCCAGCTTCTCCCCATGCATTTTATGGTGTCTGTTTGTTTAAACCGTTCGTCTAGGGAAGGACTTTCTTCCATGTTGTGTACAGTGCCAAGCAAGCTGCTAGTGCTTAACAACTTTTGACCCCCATTTAGGAAAGCCTCCAAATATGCTTATGTCTCTGACTTACATGAGACTAACACATGTCCAAAAAGTTAAGGATCTGCACGAGAGAGTTCTTGAATTAGGAACGCCTTTTCAAGCTACATAAAGCATCATGTAATCTTTTGTTGATCTGTGGGTTTTCTGTGCATATGTGTAAAACAGGTTAAACCTCCTTAAATGTGCTCACTTGAGTTTCTTGCCTTGTATCTGATGAGTATTTTAAAAGGACTTTTAGGGTAGCCACATTACACTGGTCCAAGCATCTGTGGGCAATGCCTTGGTGTGATGTTGCCTGACACAAGAGTGAGGATTCCTATGTACGTTATATCAGACATTCTTACTGATCCCACGGGAGTGATGCTAAAAGTTGCTGCATGTTCATTATCTCCTTGGAGTTTTAGCACTGTAGAAACAGTACGTACAATTCAGGTCTCTGGGACACTGCAGTAAATCCAGAGTATCTGAAAGTGGGATTTGGTCCAGTGATATCTTTCTCAGCCAGCCCTACAATTCTAACACAGCAGTACTGGCACTTGCCTTGATTCACGTCCATATCAATAGGCACTTGGGGACAAAGTCAGGCCTTCTCCATGACAGCATCAGAAGTGAAAATCAATCTGCGGAGGGACAGTTGTTTGTTCTACTTGAGAGAAGCAAATCTTCAGTCTCTTTGTCCTACCCCCCCACTTTTTAAAATCTGCTTAGCAGCAAGGGAAAGACTATCAAAGATTGCCTGTAGAGCTGTGGTTTTCAACCTTTTCTCCTTGTGGACCCCCAAAACATTTTGAATGGAGATACAGATGCCTTTGAATTGTAAGTGTGGGTATTCACACCCTTTTGATTGATCATAGGCATCTTTCTCGGAGCCCTTAGACACAGTGTTCTGCAGGCCATAGGTTGAAAACCACTGCTGTAGAGTGTAACATCACTGCTCATCTGCGTTACTGAGCTACTGCCACCATAGCCCTGCTGACATGGGTATGGCATCAGAGCCACACCCAGTTGAGATGTTGTCTGTGGTGGAAGAAGTGTTCTTTTTTGTCCGTGTAACTACACTACCTTTCTGAACAACCACCAGCAGAAGCCCTCTTTGTTAGCAGGGCTGGATTCAGGTGGAAAGTTTTGCTAGCGTAGCTATGTTGGGTAGGGTGTGATCTTTACAGATCCTTGGCTGGCTTAGGTGTGCCAGCAGAACTTTGTAATGCAGACTAGACATAATTGCCAATATGTTAAGGGAAGCAGAAGTCTAAAAGGGGTGGTTTTATTTTAATCGGGGGAAAAAAAAGTAATGTCACCCTCTTAAATGTTTCTCTATTTTTCTATTTGTCAGTGACTGTTCTTGCCATATTCCATGAACTTCAGGTTGATGTAGAGCTGTATGCCCTTCTCTTTGGCGAAAGTGTCCTCAATGATGCCGTTGCCATAGTGCTGTCTTCGTAAGTGTGTTCTGTTCTTTTTTTTTAATTGTTTTGTATGTTACATGTTAGACATTAATAACCATCTGGTCTTGCATCCGAGAAAATGGGAATAGCAATATTTGCAATAATCATAGTTCAGTATTGATCGTCACAATAAAGTCATCTGCCTTAATCACCCTCTAATTAGCCACACAATGAAAGACTGCTGTTGGGAATTGAAAGCAGTACTGAGGCCATAATTACAGCTGTTAGTGGATTTTTTTTTGCCTGTTAACACCCACCTGGAATGTGAAAAAGGAATATGTCTGCTCTTTTGCTGTAGGATCCTACTACTGCTGCTACACATGGATAAAATCACTGCCACTTGCTTCTTTACCCACACACTTGCCTTTCTTTTGGTGGAAATAGTTAATATTGCCACTTGATATCTTGCATGGAGGACCCAGTGCCAGAAATGTGGTGCCTCCTCAAAGCCAGGGAATGCTTTCAAGCTTGTGCATTTGTAGTGTATTGTTGTTGTATCTGTCACCATAGAAGCTTGTTTGGCAATATATATTTGTCCTGATGGAGACTTACTTGTATTTAAGATTAACGAGGAAAATGAGTATTTTCTGAACTACTGGAAACCCCAGATCAGTCATTGCACAGATTGCCAGTGAAACGCAGGGTCCTTTCTACATGCTGTGCAAGCTAGTAAACAGTACCTGGTGACCTACTATATCAGGGGCAACAGAGAGCTCCAGCAGCCCGAGGAGGGAACTCCTACCTGTAGCCCTCGCTAGGAGAACGTCGTCTTTAAGTGCTGTTGGAATCATCTCTGGGCTCAGCTGTGGTCTGAATGCCAGTCGTGACAAATCCAGGGTGCTGGCTGATGTCACGTGTTCTTGGAGCTTTGTGGCTACTTATTCTCCATCATTTTGCTCGCAGTAGGGCAGTAAGGGACGGGATTGTCACTGCAATGATCTTCAGGGCCCATTGTTGACTTTTTGAGGACATTTTCAAGGACTTTGATAGCCATCCTTCACTGAAGGAGGCACTAACACTTTCCGTTAGTGGTGAGCATAGATCTTAATTGGTTTTCCCCATTCAAGAGGGACAAGAGGCCACTTTTTCAAATGGTGGCTCTAATATTTCCTGTATTGTGTGTGATGAGGCCAAATTTGCTTGGCAGTGGCTGGGGCAAGCAATGCAGTCTAGTGAGGAGGCAGGACTTCTCTTTCCCAGCTAACATCATGTTAATTGATCTTAATGGAGGTATGCACCAACAGCTACTCACAGCATTCAGTGGTGGGTGCGCTTGCTGAGTTGATTGACTAGTTCACTGTGCAGACTAGCTCTGCTGACCATGACGCTGCCTTTTGGATTGTGATGTAGAAGGCTAATTTTGGTGCTCTTGTCGCAGTGGTGCGATACCATAAGGGTGGTTTGTTCTGCTAGGAGAGGGAGCGTGTTTTATACTAACTGTTAGGACTCTTGAGTCATCTGTGAACCAAGGCAGTGATCTTGCTTGATGCAGGGGGAAGCAGGTGGTAGCAGACAATAGGTAACAGTGCTGTTATGTTAGCTCGTCAGTGCCTTAGCTGTGCATTTGGGTGGCCTGTTCTCCAAGAGCTGGTCTCCATCAGAAATTGTATCACAAGTGAAGGCAGACTCCAGAACGTGCAGAGGCTAGAGGGAAGAGGTGGAGAACCCTTGCAGCCTCAGGCATTGAAGGTGTCAGAAGGAGCGAGTTTAGGAGTTGTTGGGAGTTAGGTTGCTTTGGTGGCTAGCTGAGAAGGGAAGACTCTAGTCACTGTCTGGGTGAAATGGAGTTTGACCAGAAAAGATTTTCACTGTCCAGGCCTAGCCTGAAGATAGGATCCTAAATATTGGTCAGGTGAGTGTGCAAGTCCAGCAGCTGCCTGGGAGAAATGTCTAGTTTATGTTGGTCTTAAGATCAAGTACTGGTGAGTAACAGATTTTTTGTCATGGCTGAGGTTGCTGAGGACAAGAAATCTGGGAGACTCCAGTAGTGTGCTGGGCAGCTGCTCAGGGATTTCCTTTTGGAAGTCAGCAGGGTTTCCATCTGTGCATTATCAGGAATTGAAGGGGACTGGGGTTGTGTGGGCACTAAGATTGATGGTGACAGCCCAGAGGTCACAAGCTGGAGGCCATAGCAGAGGCACTCATGGCACGGCCTTGTCAGATCCTAGTGAACCACAAATTCTGCTAAACACTTTGTCACGAGGATACAAAAAGGGAAGGAAGGAATCCAAGGCTCCTCTCGTCTTTGGGTTCACAGCTGGCATAGCTGCACTTGACTAGATAAGATAAGATAAGGTGGGGTTCAATACTGACAAGTGCAGGGTACTGCACCTGGGGAGGAAGAACCAGCACCATACCTACAGGCTGGGGAACTCCCTTCTCGTCAGCACAGAGGCAGAAAAGGATCTTGGAGTCATTATAGACTCCAAGATGAACATGGGCCGGCAGTGTGGGGACACGGTCAGGAAGTCTAACCGCACCTTGTCATGCATCCACAGATGCATCTCGAGCAGGTCCAGGGAGGTGATCCTCCCCCTCTATGCAGCACTGGTCAGGCCGCAGCTGGCATACTGCGTCCAGTTCTGGGCACCGCACTTCAGGAGGGATGTGGACAACATGGAGAGGGTCCAGAGGAGGCCACTCGCATGATCAGGGGGCAGCAGGGCAGGCCCTACGAGGACAGGCAACGGGACCTGAACCTGTTCACCCTCCACAAGAAGCTGTAACCATCTATAAACTGGCCAAGGAAGACCAGCAGGCTATGGGAGAGTCCATGTTCCCCCGAGCACTATTGGGAGTAACAAGGAATAACAGCCATAAGTTGACAGAGAGTAGATTCAGGCTAGCTAGCAGGAGGTGCTACTTCACTGTCAGGGCGGCTAGGATCTGGAACCAACTTCCCAGGGAAGTGGTGCTGGCTCCTACCCTGGGGGTCTTCAAAAGGAGGCTAGATAATCACCTTGCCAGGGTTGTTTGTCCCCATGGCAGGGGGTCAGACTCGATGATCTGCTCAGGTCCCTTCCGACCCTACTAACTATGAAACTATGACTTTTGGCTTCTGGCACCTTCAATGCCTGATGCTGGAGGGGATTACTCCGCCTTTTCCCTCTAGGCTCTGGTATGTTCTGGAGCCTGCCTTGACTTGTGACACGAGTTCTGGTGGAGACCAACTGTGGAACGGTGTGGTTGGAGGTGGATTTGAGCTCAGTGAGGCAGGCATGGCAGGTACTTCATCCCTAGTGATATAGTGGGGGAGCTGATGTTACTGATTGTCAATTTTCTCTTTGGCAGTAGACTTCAGGCTGCCATTTCCTTCTCTTCCTGCTGTTGACTGATGTCACTGACTGAGTATCTAGCTTTGGTTAGGGTGCTGTGGGAAGAGTGGGTTGTGGCATGAACTGGGAGAGGCATTTTTCCCTTCTGATTTGCCTTCAGCAAGGAGCACTTCACATGCATGCACACCGAATGCTATGGGGGAGTGGGAGGAGAGTGTGAGATGGGTAGGTGGTAGGAGGAGTGGGTGGCCCTCAAAGTGGAACTGGCCTTATAAGCTGTTTGGATTCTGTGAAAGGGAGAAAGGGAAGAAGAAAAACCAAAAACTTCACCCTCTGCTTCCTGACAAGGTTGTGAAGGTACTTTTACGGCTCTTGGCTGGGCTGATGGCCAGGCACCAAGTTTCGGTGAAGAGGAACTGAATCACAGAATTAAGTAGTACTGTGTTGGGTGCACGTAACGATAAGGTTTTAACATCTGTATGCAAGTGAAATAAAGTCACAAAGTCATTTTATTGAGGCCAATTTCATAAAGGTTGTGAAACTAAATAAAAGCAGTTGTGGGCTAAATAGTCTGGGGGAATTTAGATGAAAAATTGGAAACCCTTTACGAACATTTTACAAGGAATTTAAAAGACCACTAAGAGAGACAGCAATACTGGGTAGGAAAAAAGAAGCTGGCATAGGCAAGAAGTGCAAACAGTTTTAAAATTTACAAGCCAAGAGAGAGCAAATGGGGGAAAAGGGACCAAGAGAGTAATACATTTAAATTTGAAGCTACAGAGAAGAAAAGAGAAATCTGTGGCCAGCAGTATTGAGGACAATAATGACTTTGAGCGTATTAGGAGCCAAAGGGCTCCTAACAATGAGATTGAACCAATACTAGATGGAAACGGTGGTATTGTCAGTAGTGCAAGATAAGGTTTGTTTTTTTTTTCCTTTTGGGGGAAAAAAGCACATAATGTTTTCATCTTGTACAGTAGAGTCTGGTCCAGTAAAAACAAAAGGGTGTTAGAGTATAAAAGATGCACCTTCTTAAAGGAACAGACCCAGATAATTTGCAACCAGGTGTTTTAAAAGAGTTGTCTGAGAAGAACTTGAGCTGTTTCAATACAGCCTGGAACACAGGGGAATGCAGAGGGTGGAGGAAAGTTCATGTTGGCCATATCTAAACCACGAATTTACTGTGCCCAACCCTTAGACAAGTTAGGCTCTGTGCTCAGCTACCAGTCTGGAAGCAGTGTAGCTGTGCACCCACACAGACCCAAAGGTGATTAGCCCTGCTGAGAAACTATGCTAATTAATTCTATTCTGTTTCTAATCTGATGGGTTGTGCAGGGAGCCATGCAGCATGTTGGAAGGCACTAGTGCTGGGCACAGGAAGTTTGTCATCTGGACATGGCAGTTGTGTCAGTATTTTAAAAGCTGTTTATAATCCATCAGCCTGATGTCTTCCCTGTGCAAAATACTGAAACAGTTTGTTAATTGAGAATTGAAGGAGATGCAGTTGATGCCAGTCAGTATGGCCTTTTGATCTTACCAACTTGATATTTCTTGTTGATGAGATTACAAGTTGTAAATCAACTAGGAATCAACCACAGTCCAATGAATCCTTGTTCAAAAAGATGCACTGCACTAGATGGATATCTAAACATGGGGTTTTGCACATCATCAGGGAAAGCAAATTTCACAGATAGGAAGTCTCCTTGGAAACCGCAGACAGACAAAGTGAACATCTGGGTCCTATCTGTAAATTCACCCTGGCTGTTCCTAGTTGTCTTGATGATCTTCAGAGAAAAGGGGTCCCTAAAGAAGCCAGGTCATATAGGACACTTTGAATTCCTCTCCCCGCTCCCCTCCAAAAAAGCAATGGGAAACCAACCCAGCTCAGACCACAGACCTAGGGTAGGAACTAAGAACATTTTAGAAAATAGGTGGTCTGTGGCATTCTGGGGCAGCCCCACATAGAGAAGGGCATATTTCAGCAGAATATGGAAGTGGAGATTAGAATCCTTATGGAAATGCCTCCGCCTCTTTGCTAGCTGCACACATTAAATGGCATAAGTCATGTCAGGCCTTGGTAGTAGAGGCGGGTCTGAACGTACTGCTCACGATAAGAGTCCCATGTGGCGCTTCAAACCGGTGCTGCCCCTGCTGAGAATTCAAATGCAGTTGAAACAGTTTCAGAAGATCATGTGGAAGCCGTCCCCTTTTTCTCTTTTATTCCATGCCTATCCTTTCAGGAGTGTCATCTGTAGCAGCCACAGCAACAGCCATTAAATTGACTTGCAAATCCAGAAAGTTTCATTTCCTTTCCTTCCAAACTGAGGTGCGTTTGTTTTCCCTTCCAGTTCAATCGTAGCGTACCAGCCAGCAGGTGACAACAGCCACACATTTGACGTCATGGCAATGCTTAAGTCGATTGGGATCTTCCTTGGGATATTCAGTGGATCCTTTGCAATGGGAGCTGCTACTGGAGTAGTCACTGCTTTAATATCTTTCCATTGGTGTTCCCGCAAGCTTACTCGGTGTCATGTTGTGTTAAACTGTTTTGCTCAAATCCAAGCTTTTGTGGCTTCTGAAAGGAAGGCAATAAAACGGTTTGTTTAAGGGTGGGCCAGATAGTACTGCTACGGGGTATAACCTAACTTAGCTTGATATCCTTGTACTGTACTGTTCTTTTCTTTGTCACAGTGCTTTATCATTAGGGGTATAGACCACTTCAATTTTATTTGATGAGAATTTTGGATACTAACAATTATCCACAGAATGCAACCTGGCTTCCTTCAGCCTGCACTTTTATAAAGCTTTATTATTTGGAATTAAATTTAATGGGATTACTGTTGTGAGCAATGCAAGCAGAATTTGGCCCCTCTTCTGTGCCATAAATGCTAGTGAATCAGAGTATGCCATCATAGTGCTAGGTGTCCTTGTACTGTTGCACACAGTCTGGTGTTTTTAATGTAAGGTCCTTAACAATCTGCAACGTCACCAAGTTCACGAAACTCCGTGAGTTCCCGTTGCTGGAAACAGGGTTGTTTTTCTTGATGTCTTGGAGCACGTTTCTGCTGGCTGAAGCATGTGGTTTTACAGGTGGGATACAGCTTATATCCTACAAGGGGAGCATGGGGGGGTGCTGGGATTCATAAGGATGACTTTAGCCTGTGACATTTGAGAATCAGGAAGCCATAAAGCAGCGCTAATGTATTCATTGGAACCTATAATCTCACTTCGTATGATTTTTATACTCTAGCACAAAAATATATTTATTAAGTATTTTGTGATTGTTGAATAAAACCAACCAGCTGTCACCACATAGCTTTGTTTCCCATTTGTGTGTTAAGGTCCTAACATAATACTCTGCTCCTCAGGTGTGGTAGCAGTACTGTTCTGTGGGATCACACAAGCCCACTACACGTATAATAATTTGTCTACTGAGTCCCAGCATAGAACTAAACAGGTAAGAACTATTCGTACACATTTGCATGAATTTTCCCTTCTCCTTTGCCAGAACTACTTGTGTTTTCTAGAAGTGGCTTTCGCAGAGAATCACTTCTGTGAAACCACTGATATTTTATAGGCACAATAGCACATTTGTCTTATTGCAAGATAAATAACTGTCTATTTTTTTTCGTTTTAGTTGTTTGAGCTTCTGAATTTCTTGGCAGAAAACTTCATCTTCTCCTACATGGGACTCGCATTGTTCACCTTCCAGAATCACGTCTTTAACGCCACTTTTGTAGTAGGGGCTTTTGTATCCTTTAGTCTGATTTAAAAAGCACTAAGGAAAACAGACACGCAGTTATTCTATAGGCTAGATAAAATATGGGTTTTCTCAGTCCCTTTTTTTTAAGCTTTCAGAACATGAGGATTTTTCCTTTGTGTTTCTTTCTAGGTTGACCGTTTTTTAAAATATGAATCTCTGATTCTGGCAAGTTTTTGTGTCTTTTTGCTTTATCCCATTTCAAGGGGTGTTATGACCACCTCATTGTGGAAGTCTGCACTGAACTGTGACTGTGTGGCTGAAGACCTTGCTCCTGTCACATGTGAATGTGGTATTGTAGAAAACGGTAGTGTTTTTTTTTCGAGCTGGAACTTCCTGATATAAACAACTCAGTTTATAACCTGTTCTCATACTGTTCAGGATCCAAGTGTTCTTATATAGTCAAACCCCCCCAAAATTGTTTTGAAATAAGCATCATTATGCCTGAGACCAGGCTTACATGTTGGCCAGTACTGACTCAGCCTGGGTGGTTTCCATTTACACAGACACAAAGGACCAGTATTTCTACAAATGACAAGTGAGGGTTGCAAGGAGTTTTAATTTGAATTGGGGAGAAACCTTGACAGTCTTGCAAAATGCCTTTCACAGTTTACCTGGATTTAGACTCAAGTAAATTTTTTTTTTTTGATACGTGAGTAAAATGGCATTCACTTTTTTTTCCCCCTTCCCTTTGTCAGTGCTTGAGAATAGATTTTTATGGTTTAAATTTGGGCCAACTTAAGAAGGAAGCATTCCTTAACGTGTGTGCAATTGTAGCTAGCCATCTTCCTGGGAAGAGCTGCTAACATTTACCCTCTGTCCATGTTACTTAATTTGGGTAGAAGAAACAAGATTGGAACAAATATCCAGCACATGATGATGTTTGCTGGTACGTTTTCTTCATCCCTGTCTGTCATCCCTGAAGTGTGATGAGCAGACCTTGTGTGGAACACTCTGAAATAGTTGTCCTCCAACTTGAAACTTAATTATTGTGCACATGAATAAAAGGACCTTGTACTGGTTATTCAGATGTTCATTAGTAGCTTGTTAATTCTGGTAAAGTTCTTAGTTTAGTTTAGAGAGAGATCTCTGCAGCACACAATAAGAGTGGTGTAGCACTAAAGAAATGAGGAAGGAGGGTCCCAGCTCTGCATAGTCTTGCCATTGTCTTGAGCATAATACTTTACTACTCCTGTCTTCTGCATTTTTAAATGAGGATTGTAATGACAATCTCTCAGGAGAGTTTTGAGTTTTTAGGCCACCTTGAGATTGTCAGAACGAAGATGCTCCAGGAAGGCAAAGGTTTGTTGGAAAGTTAGCTGGGCAGCAGTGGCCTAGTGTCTGAGAAGATTGTAGAATGCCAGGAGCAGGCATTGTGATTTCTAGGTTAACTAGGCTGTACGTGGGGAATGTAGCTGCCTCAAGTAGGACACTGGGAGCCAACATAGCTGCAAATTGCATGAGACTGGGGGAGTTAGACCACATTTGCTTTTCTACTCAGGGCTGCGAGGAGCCATGGCCTTTGCCTTGGCTATTCGAGACACCGCTACCTACGCTAGACAGATGATGTTCAGCACAACGCTTCTCATAGTGTTCTTCACTGTCTGGGTTTTTGGTGGTGGCACCACAGCCATGTTATCATGCCTGAATATTAGGTGAGTGTGACCTTTGTGTCCCTATTCCTAGAATTCAATTATCTCCTTAGATTGGATCGAATGGGGTGTCATTTCATCTGCACTGTCAGCCTCTATGCTTTGTCCCATTCCAGGAGCAGCTCTATGAAGTCTAAGGGCTGTGCCTTAAAACAGAAACTGTTTTTAATTGCCTTATTCTGTTACGTCAATCTGATGTCTCTTTCCATGGAGACAGTTTCTTTCAGCTGATTAGCTAAAGTCTGCTGGCTGAGGCTGAGCCCTGAGTGCTCTGTAAGCTTCAGGCCTGCAGAGGCAGTGGGTGCCATGGCCTGTAAACGTTTTTATTTTGGGAACAGGAGAAACCTGTCTGAATTCTTCCTTACCAGTGTCCCCCCATCACTCCTACAAATGGGAAGACTGATACTTTTAAAAAGCGTACAAAACTGATCTTTACCTGTGTGGTAGTGCTGAAAGAAATACCAGCTTGTGATGTAGATGCCTTTTTTCTTAATGCCATGCCTGTACGTAGGCCATCTCTGTCATATGGCTTCTGTTTGGAAGCTTTGAATGCAGGGGTTTGATTCCTCACAGCAGACCATTTAAATTTAAATTTATTACTCTCTTGTTTCCTTTTCCCCCATTTGCTCTCTCTTGGCTTGTAAATTTTAAAACTGTTTGCACTACTTGTCTATGCCAGCTTCTTTTTTCCTACCCAGTATTGCTGTCTGTCTTAGTGGTGTCTTTTATTTTCCTTGTAAAATGTTCATAAAGGGTTTCCAATTATTCATCTAAATTCCCCCAGACAATTTAGCCCACAACTGCTTTTATTTAGTTTCACAACCTTTATGAAACTGGCCTCAGTAAAATGACTGTGTTGGCATGCTGAGGAGCTGGCCTTTGGAGAGCTACCGTTCATTTTATTGCAAGCTTCTGAACATGTTGGATCAAGAAGAGATCAGAACTGAATAATGTCAGGGATCCTGTGTCTCTACAACCAGGCAAAACCCAGAGCAACTCTTGCCCATTCTCTTGCATGTGGAGGACCTGGAGACAGCCATGGTCAACTAGTGGAGTGAATCCTCTTCACCACTGGGTGCTTCTTTAGACATGGGTTCTGATAACTGGCACACATTTAGTAGCAAAGTGGTAATGTTGGCTCTGGTGCAGGGCATTTCTGATTGCATGCACAGACAGAGGCTGCTGCAGGAGCTGGGGGCTGTGCAGGAGGGGCCAAACTCCCAGCGAGCCTGGCCTGGCCCAGCCCCTGCATGATCAGAGCAGGAACCAAACTCCTGCCAAGTAAATAAATGTGTATTTACTTTTTCTATTTTGACATGTGATTTTTATGAAGTTTTTAACAGTATACTGTGATTATTAAATTGTCTGGCCCCCAAACCCCTAACTTCACACAATTCTGAACATTTAAATTGATAAAAATTGATAAACACAAAAGAAAAGCTTTAAAATAAACAGCAGTTTTTGGCCATTAAAATGATTAAAAAATAAAAATCAAATTCTGCCAAGTCTATGCATTTGTAACCCCTGAATGCATTCACCTTCCATTGTGCTGCACTGCTAGTACATCATGGCATGAGGGCAGGCTGAATTTTTAATGCTTTTACAAATGAAGCAAGTATGCAGATCAGACCAGTTCCCCTCCAAACTCTGGTCCCAGTTCAGAAGAACATTTGAGCACATGGTGTATTTAAAAATTGTAGTGGGATTTAAACATGTGCTTTAAGTACTGTGCTGAGTAGGGGTGTCAAGACACCTCTGCTTTGATCTGTCATGATTGTTGCTGTTTCAGAGCTGGGGGTGTTATCTGACCAGAATGACACGCAAATGGACAGGGTTTGGGAGCATCTCATCTTGCATGTGACTGGAGCTAGATCGCAGCCAGTCCAAGTGGCAGAAGAAGGTGGTGAAAGAACTTGGCCTGCTCCAAAAGGGTGTCCCTGGAAGAGAGCTCTTCTGAAAGCCTTTTATCTTGTGTGTACATATAGGGTGGTTTGTGTGCACGCTAACCATTGACTTGTTTTCTCCTTAGAGTTGGTGTGGATGCGGATCAAGAAAACGTAGTAAGTATATGTTCCTTGGTAACTAGCTTTAAATTAGCCTGGCCTGAAAGATTGATTAAACCTTGTCCTCTGCTTTACCACAACAGTTAATGTTTCCTTTTTAACGAAGCATCTGCAGTGCGCTTTTTTTCCCTCTTGATTGTCACACGCTAGTCTATTCTGTCTTCTGCACTGCTGGCTTCCTGTGTTGATTTATCTTGCAAAACAGGAAATAACAGCTTTAAAGCATAGACTCGAGCAGTGCACAATCAGGGAGCCGGTGTGCCTGGATACAGTAGTGTGCAACTTTTCTTGTGCGTGTGACACCTGCACATTTCGGCTCTCATCTTGTAGCTGCTCTGTGTGAGGAACTCCTGCCATTCCAAAGGGAGCTTTGCCCTTGGAGACTCCAAGCCCTGTTTGCCGAGGCCAGGGTTCAGTAACTTACTGACCGTGGGCCAGATCTGGCCCATGGGATGGTTGGATCCAGCTCATGGTCATGGAGTTTCAGGAGCATTTGGTAGTTGGGCGGTATTGGCTTTGGGCACTCTTCCCTAGGACAAACTGCATCAACGGCTGGGTAGTGCCTGCCCATCCTCCCACCTCTGACCTGGGGTGGGTCATTCTGGCCCATAAAAAATTGCCTACCCTAGTGTCGGTTGTTATAGGTTATTCATTCTTGAAGATCAACTAGTCCTCACTAGAGAGAGCAGGGTGGGCTATACTCCAAAATAGCCGAGCCTGCATGGATTAAGACAAAGAGTTTGGTCTCTGTTATATGTGTGATTCTACAAAGAGAGAAATGGCACCAGCCAAGGTGGATGGGAATGAGAAGGCAGGCTGCAACTCCCCTGTTGCCCCCAGTGAAGTGTTTTGTGTTTGTTAAATTGTCCCTGGAGCAAGGGTTTGTGCAGGGAAGACAGTAGAAGGCAGTAGGTGGTGAGAAGCAGAAGAGTAGTCTGTAACCCACAGACACTCTGGCAGTTCATATGGTGCTGGCTGCTGAATCACATTAAATGAAAGGCTGCTAGTACTGCATTGCTGTGTAATCAGTTGCTGTAATCCAAGGATGTTATGTAATTACAAAAGGGAGGGGACTGGTGGGGGTCCGTGATCGTGAATTAAATGGCTATGAAGAAGAAAAACAGACCCTCTTCCTTCATTTGCATATGTAATTTGGAATGCCTTGATCTAATTCATGTTGATAGGGGCAGGACAGCACAGCGCTTTAACTTGTGACTCTATTACAGGGGGTCCCGGAGAACGAGAGGAGGAGTACGAAAGCAGAAAGTGCCTGGCTGTTTAGGATGTGGTACAACTTCGACCATAAGTATCCTTAATAAAGAGGGAACCATACAGAGCCAACACCAGTCCAGAAATGTAACCCAGTTAATTCTGAGCATAGCCTCCCTGTGGAGAGAAGAGCTAGGTTCCCTGTTGTATAATATTGCTGTTTATGCTTTACTTATAATGTCTGCACCTGGGAAAACTTCTCCAACTGTACCCACCCACAGTTAATTGCAGGAGGAGCTCTGCTCTAAGCCAAGCACAGAAAAAGGTTGAAAATACAGAGTTACTCAAAACTCCCATGTGTGATGATGTGACAGGAGTGTAGGAAGGCCACATGCTATTTTCTTACAGCCCTTCCCATGCCTGTTAAAACACTCTTAATTTCCTTTGTGCCTGTCTTGTTTTGTTTATACGTCACATTGATTAAGCATATAAGTAATTAACTGGGCTCTGATGAAGGGTGCAGCATAATGGAAGAGAGATGCTCCTATTGCCTCTTGTAGAAGAGATTCTTAGTAGCTTGACTTAAAGACTTGGTGAAGTTAGGGTTTACCTTGACCTGCTAACTTGCATACCTTGCCTTCACTAAGATTTTGCCTTGTTGCATATTGGCCAAATGTTTATTAGTGAAGGCAGAGCTGTGGGTACCTGAAAAAACATTTGGGTTGAAAATGAAGTTTTAGTAGTGATGTGATGTCTCAGCTGTGAGAGCTGCTGCTGGGGACACTTACCAGCAGTGAAAAGGGATGCAGGTTGAATGAGTAGGTGAGTGGTGTGATACATTCTTGTAGGGTAGAGACTTGAATTGTAAAGTGGAGAGAAAAGCTTAAGGGATGAATGGACGGTCTGTTGTCAGGAGAATAGATGAATTTAGCTTTAATCTAGCAAAAGGGAGGCTAAGAGAGGATTTGAGCACAGTTTCTGAGCTCAGAAAACATCAGGGAGGAAGAAGAAGAGCTATTGAAGCTAAAGAACAATGTTAGCACAAGAACAGGTGGGTATGAACTGGCCAGGAACAAATTTAGGCCAGAAATTAGATGATTCCTGACCATTAGAGCTCTGAGGGTCTAGAATAGCTTTCCAGTGGGTGTAGCATGAGCAGAAAGTAACTGTTTATAAGATGGAGTTTGGCCAGTGGTATGGTGCCTGCAGGAGCCAGGGACTGGACTCAGTGGTGAAGGAGGTCTTGGGTTGTTCTTGTCTCTGTCGTTGGGTGCTGTGTTTTCAGCAGAAGACTGCACTCCCATCCTCAGCCTCCCACCTCCTCTGTCTTTAATTGAGAGAAATGTTTGCGTCATAATCACTTTTTTGACTCAACTCATTGTGCACTTGGATTGATATACATAGCAGTGCTGGCATTTCTTCCTTAACGTACCCCGTAGCTATTTAAAGCCTCTGTTGACACATAGTGGTCCTCCTCTCACAACTACGCTTCCTAGTTGTTGTGGACCTATTGCCAGATGCTTGACAAGTCCTCAGGCCTATGAAGTAAGTCTATAAGGTTTGTTTAACAAACATGCTCTTTCTGCCATAATGTTTGATTCTGAAGTATTTATTCTTTTCAGTTTCAGGAGCATATAACCTGAGCCGCTTTAGACCCCTAGTTCATGTTTCCTTGCATTTGCTACATGACGTTGTAGAATGCAAAGTGTTCCATCGTTAGACTGTCCCCACTCAGTGTTGCCAACACACAAATTGTTACTGGGATTCTTGCACCATGAAGCAGCAGATGCTGGGAGGTTTATGAAAACCAGAAGCTTAGTCTGGCAGATGATGAAGTGCATTTTGCTTTCACAGTTGACAGTGCTTGGGCATGAAGTTATGACTGGGAGTTAGTTGTATCATTCATACCATGTAGTGATGGTGGCATTTGCTCTGGTGGATGGATCAAGTTAGAAAGACTAGATTTGTTAGTCAGAATTAGATTGGTTATAGTCTTGTCTTCAGCAGTGCCTAGTACCCATAATGCACCCGTTTCCACGAGTCCTGTCTCTAGTGCTGCCAGTTCTTTGTTAACATGAACTGTTGCAGCCCGTAGCCACTTACAGTAGTCTTTATTCATAGCAAGAGCTCCTAAGAAGGGAGACAGCTTAGAAAGAATACCTTGTTGAGCTCCTTCATTTACTAATATCTTCGATCCAAGTGTCTTGGAATCACATTGTTGGTGAGGGCACCTTTTAGTTGCAATCAGTGTGACAGAGTCCTGTTACTGGTGGTAGCTGGGAGTAACTGATGAGGAAATAAACTCTTTGTCTTTGCTGTTCAGAATCAAGAGCAGCTGAAGGACGATGATTCTGATCTTATTTTGAACGACGGAGACATCAGTTTGACATACGGGGATTCTACCGTGAACACTGATTCTGTAACATCTAGTGGCGCTTCACGGAGGTTTGTTGGAAACAGCTCTGAAGAAGCACTGGATCGGGAACTTGCTTTTGGGGATCATGAACTTGTAATACGGGGAACACGCCTGGTTCTTCCCATGGATGATTCTGAACCTCCATCAAATGTGCTCGATAGCGCAAGACATGGCCCAGCGTAAGATTTATTTTGTTCGGTTTAATTGACAGTAATATTTGCATATATGATTATGAAGAAATATGTACTACCTAAAAGCTAATGCATGTCTCAAAATGTCTAAGCTGTATAAATATTATTTATATGGTGTCAGAAGAATATAAATATTCTCTACAAAACAGCTTGTCAAGAGCAAGCTGCAGTTTCTTAAGTTAAAACCCATCGGGACTGCACTGTGTAGAGTGGAACTGTTTTAGGATAAGAAGCTCTGTGCCCAGTGAACTTCTTTTAAGGTGGCGTGGAATAGGTTTTGAGGAGGACTTTAGGTCTGGGTTAAGCAAAGTGGCTTGAGTCCTATTAGCATTCAGATTTCTGCTGAACACTACCCAAAATGCCAAATGAAATGTTTTCTTTCTGTTGCTCTGCCTGCCCAGAGTAGAAAGGAAAAGTCAGCTAAAGATGGGAATTCCTTATTTTTCACCCAGTAATGGTTACAGTCTCTATGATATTGAAATAATCACATTATGTTATTGGCAAAATGTCTCCTCAAAAACTGGCCTAATAGTCTACTAGCCAGCCGCACGCTGCACCGGAAGGGGAAAGGAAGCATTTTATTCTGAAGTGACTCACCCAGTCTGTCCACGCCACTGTTGAGAGAGGTAATGATTGGCATTGGCAAAAGCCACATGCAGTTCATCTCAGATTGAAAAGCCGTGCATCGCAGCAACCCGCTCACAGGTTGGAGTTCAGTTTCACTCTTCCAGAGAAGTTTTGTGTTTGCAGTAGCGTTTGGGAGGCATTCGCATATGCACTGCATCAGACTCATTGCATAGGCTTGTAGTTGGTGAGTTTGCATTTCAGTTGTAACTTAAGCAGCTTTTTCTAGAAATAGTAAACCAATTCTAAACGTATTTGAATTTTAAATTCTGGGCATTGACCATGTCTTGTGCGATTGAAGCTCTTTACTTCTTAGTCACTGAGATTGCTGAATAGGTGTACAAGGCCCACGGTTCCACGCTATACCCTGGAGGCAGATCTATCCCCATAAGCATAAAGGTTTGTAGATTGAAACCCTACCTGCAGATTTCTTAAAAGGTACTTAGAAAATTAAGTGGTACTGAAAGGGAGTTGTCCGTCCTCCTGTATAGTTAAAATCATTGCACTTTGTTTGATAACTTCTTAGCATGCAGTGTGTCAATAATCTCCCTGATCACTCATGTCTCTTTCTGTTTCATAACAAATGTTTGTGAGCTGACATGTTTTTTACATTTTTTTCAAGGAAGAGCACAGAAAAATTTGCTATTTCACATTAGTGTATTAGAAATTCTACAGCAATGGAAATGGCTGAAGGTGCAGTGAACATTTAAGAAGCCGCAAACTTTGTCTTATTTTCCTTAAGAAAAGGTTGTGGCAAAGAATTTATTGCGCATAATTTAATTTACCTTTTACATTATCCAGCTTCCCTTCCACAGTCACAAATGCACTCCAGGCCTGTTGCAAAGTTAGTTTGCAGTCTGTCAGAATGGGAACACACCTAAGAGGATACAAGACCTGCTCCTTGGAGGCACCGAGTGTTCGTGACTCCCATTGACTTGTATTTGAGAGGACTCTGCCCCTCTCAGGGTCAGGACTTGAGATGCCATAGCAGTTTTTTCCCCACTTTTGGCTGTTTCCCCACAACTACTGTAACACTAACCAAGAGCGGAAGGCGACGCGGGGAAATATTTAAACTTTGGCTGAGTGTATGTTTCTAGTTCAGGAAATAGATTTAAACTTTTTTCGTTTTCTCAGGTCTAAGTAACATTGCCTTAAATGTACCGAAGTGGAACTAATTTTTGTTTTCTGGTTTAAATATCCCCAAGGAAACGCTTTTTTCTTTGTTCTTTTCCAAACAAAATGTATCATTTTTTCTCCATAGGACTCCTCTGTACCAATGTACATGCTGTTTATAGTTAGGGAAAACAGAATCTTCATTGCACCCAGGAAATGGCAGTTTTAGCTGTTAACGTAGCCATTTGTTTAGTGCTAGCCTGTTTGTTTCCTGCTGTGCAGGAATTCCATGACGTGTGCATTTTATATGACGTCTCTACCTTAACTTCATGTTTAAAAAAGAAAAAGGAAAAAAAAAAAGTTGATAATGTTGTTGTTTTGGTTTACGGCGTTACTTCTACATCTTTTTGTTTTATTTTGCCTTTTTAAAGAGGTATGATAAATTAGTACCTCTTGTTTTTTCCTGTCTAATCTCGCTATGAATTCAATTTACAAAACCCATGAAGATATCACAGGCTGTGAAGAACAGCGCTGCTGTTCTGATCTGCTTTTGATGAAGGTGCACCCACCGGCTGATATTTCTCTGTTCCTAAATAATCAGAGGAATTTGTTTGCCTCCTGCTCTCTTCCCCTGGAGAACCCACTGTCAGAGCAGTCTAGTTCTCCAGCTTTGTCTGTTGACCTTCTTCACGGAGAATCCTTGTGCCTCCAAATCCCATCCACAACCCCACTGCTCGAGTTCCTCTTTGAGACTCAGTGCAGGGCGCTAAAGGGCTCTGAGGGCTAGAGCTGAGCTATTCACTTGCTGGAAATCAATGGCAAAACTCTCCTTGGCCTTGTCTAGGGCTTTGCCTACACTTCAGAGCCTCTGCTGCTGCAGCTGCACTGGTATAGCTCTGTCAGCAGAGCCCCTAGTGTTGGCGTATGTCTTTAAAGCCTAATGTCAGTGAGAAACTAAGACTGAGAACCATGCCTTCATTCACAGATTGTCAGGGGCTGGAAGGGACCTTCCAGATCGTCGAGTCCAGCCATCATCAGTTCATCTCTCACTCGATAGCATTGGGCACTGCCCCTATGCCACAATTAACTTTTCTAATTGACTGGTATGCAAGTGCTCCTTTATTTCTCTCTCCAACCTTAATGCTTTATCTACTGTTGGTATTTGCCAACATGTTACCTTATTCCTTAACAGTTTTGATCAGCATCATGAGGTCTCAAAATACATAAAGAGATATTAACAGTTTGGAGGCTCCAGGCATTACACTGTGTGAGAAACATTATATGAGGGGATTTTTTTTTTAAATGAAAGCTGGACCAGTGGGTGAATAAACCTAATCCTGAAATCTAGAAGGGATTCAACAGGAACAACCCAAATTGGTAGGAAACTGTTGGTTTTCTTTCTTTGGTTGCCGTCAAGAATGCATGGAGCTGGATCTTGAGACGTTGAGCATCTTCAGGTGAAACTCTGAGTGCTCAGCCCTTCTCAAAGTCTGGCCCTGAGACCCTTTGCCAAGTACGTAAGACAGCCTCACGCATAATTCTGCAGTCAAATAAAGAGGTGGAGAAGTCACCTCTTTGGAGTCCTCTTGTCTGTAAATTGAATTTGTATGGGGTTTTTGCACATGAAAAAGCACTGTAGGTCAAGTTATGGTTTATACTAGTATTGTTGAATTGTCCGGTAATGGCATTAACCTCAATAGTTGTGGTGTTTGTGCAGCTGATTCGTGATAGCTGGTGATCATTTTTGCACCTTTTGTTTACACTGACTAAATCTTTTACTGTTACATTGTACTGTGAAAGAAGGATTATGGGCCTATAAATGTTTTTTTTTTTCCTTGAATAAGTCTGTACTGTTTCTTTAATTCACAAGGAAATAAATCTGTAAGAAATTTAAGGTACAGCATATTTGCTTTCTTAAAAAATTTTGTTGCAGCGCTGTGATAAAAAAAAAAAAAAAAAAAAAAAAAAAAAAAAAAAAAAAAAAAAGCAGGCACTGCTGAGTCAAGTCAATGACTGTACAGAGTGTGGCTTCCCACACTCCACACTGTTTGCTTGAAACAGTAGATTGAACTGTTAAAAGGCATTAACACCCTGAACTCGACCAGAGCAGCACCCTTGTCATTTTGGATTTTGGAAGTTCAGCAGGTTTGGAGATGGTGGGTACTTGGTTCTTAGTAATAGTATAGTAGCATTATTTAGGAGCCTCAGTCACAGCCCTGAACCCTGTTGTCACAGGAGCTGTACAAAGCCAGAGCAAAAGGACCATCTCTTCCCTGGAGACTCAGCAATCTTCATATAAAAGAGGTGGTGATGAAGGAATACAATGGGCAGATGCAGGGAGCATGAGGACATAATGCGATGGTACTGGTGATGTGGTAAGCAGCTGTTACAGCTCTCAGTACTTACGGACTGGAAAGCAAAGGCACCAGGGATGATGCAAAGCAGTGGCAGGCTTAGGTTTAAATCTAGGAGTTCAGACTCTTGAACTTTCATTTTAACTGTAAGGCCATGGTTTTTCCCTTCATGCCAGTCTCTTAGAAAAAGCACTTCATTGGTTCCCTCTAAGTATGTTGTATAAAGTATTTTCTGTTGCAGATGTTTATGATTGACCCCTCTGACCTGGTGTTACACACTCTCTCTTCACGTAGAGACACTAAAGCAGTCGTTCTTTTGTGTAGAAGAAGCAATGGAGCTGTTCTCTTTTGTCTGAGTACACTTGTCTGTAAAAGTCTGTCTAACCCATCCAGATAGCAGATCATGAGTGTGTTTTGGTTGTTTGTGCCTAAAACCATCTAGCCTAGTCAGCCCACATTTCCTTTTGCAAGTGGGAGATTTGTACGGTGGTCAGACAGCCAGGAGGCAATGGCAGTGTCACGTTCGTCCTGTCTGACCTGTTTGCACCTTGTGATCTGCACGCAGCAAGGAGGCCTCTGTTTTACATTTTCTGGACCTTGCTGATTTTTGTCTGAGGTGCTGCATTCACCCACATGCAAAACTGACTACAGACAAGCTAGTGCAGTCTCAAACCACAGACAAGAACTGCTTGCCAAGAGTCAGCTTTGCTCCAGATGTCTGCGCCACTGAAATCCACATGAAAAATTGACCCAAAAATCCTCAAGGCAGTGTTGTTTTATTAAAGAAACGTATTCAGTTGAACAGTGACTGTCACACACAGCTGCTGTACCTGATTTGCACAAATCATAAGAAATGCAAACACAAATTGTATAATTTACTCCACATAAAATTGTTCAAGTTATTTAGAAGCTGAAACGTGGTTGAAAGAGAGCTGTTATTCAAAGAGCAAGACATGGGGGAGGGAGGAGGGTACTTGACAGCTAACACAGCATCCTGGTGTTGCACACAGCATTTACCAGTATCAATGAGGGGTTGGTTGGTTGCTTAAGATGCTGTGTAATGGGCACAGGCAAGCTGTGCGGGCTATAATGATTATAGAGTGGAATAATAACAAAAACATTTCCATGTGGATCCAATAAATTTTGTCACGGCCCTTTGATAAAAAGTAACATCGTTACTGATGGGGTAATGATGGGTTAACGTAATTAATTTGTGCCTCTGTAATGAAAACCAGGATTGTTATGAGTTTCTCAGGAGAAGCAAGTGCCGTTTTCTTCAGATCCCCTCCTCTTGCTGGAGAGATCGGTGTATTATTTCTTTTCTTGTCCTTGCTCTAAGAAGAATTCCTATGGTGGTGGGTAAGAGGAGGTAAGTTGCTGCACCGTGAATGCTTGAATGGTCTGTGCAGTAACACCCCGACATGCACCCGAAACAGCTGGACTGTACTGAACTTGTATTCACAACAGCTATTTGTGTATAAAAGCCAGCGCAAACACGGAATCAGCTTCACAGTAGACCGAGCACTTTAGTAGTAGTTTCTTCTCGCAGTTCCTCAAAAGAGCCCAACACCATCTGTCCCTTCCCCAGATGTTCCAACTCCACAAAAGTTCATGTTAACAATGTAATATAAACTTGGTTTAAAAAAAACTTGTCCAAGCCTCATAGGGCTAACGTTGGATTTTACCAGCTGCATCTTTATGCAGAACACATGTTCATACAGTGCTGTTCCCCTACTCTGTGGGCTCTGGAGAAAGTCATGAAATAAAAAAAAAAAAAAAAGTCTTCTGTTCTGAATCAGATTTATTGGATATTTTGAGGTCTTGCTTGCCCTCAGTTCCTCCAGCCTATCTGTCCTGCTTGGATGATGCAGTAACACAAAGTAACCCTGCAAATGTGCAAGGACTTACCAACATGGAGAAGTTTCTGGGAGATAAGGTAAGGTGTGACCTTAATGCACAGTAGCCGTTCTGTCCCTGTGGGTGCCTCTGTCTCAGGCAGAGGTTGTTTATGTACACTTTAGCCTGGTTCACCTTGAAAGCAGATGAACCTGAGCTACCCAAAGGCACTTGAAGTCCGGCACAAGGATGTCCACATAGGGAACGACTGTGGTAGCATTCTGTACTAGCTGCCGTGGGCTGGCTCCACAAATCAGGCCTACCTTATAACAGGCAAATTCTTATTCATTGCAGATTTCATTTGGGGGGGGAGGAGAACTGCAGGACCAGGAGGGAATAAATTCCTGCATGTTGATAGGTTTTTTCCCTCTCACTGCCAAAACACACCTTGGCATCTGCTTTCCTCTACAGGCTGAGTTGCATGAGTGTATCTTCAGATGTAGTTTTAAACCGCTTTAGGGAAGCGTGTCCGCACAGCCTTCTGCACCAACATACTTCATTTTGAATCGGGCTGCTTTCACTTGAGTGGCAGCTGGTTAGGAACAGAGTTAAGTTAAACTGCTACTTCATTCCTCCCAGAATTGGAGCAGTTTGCATCACAGATTCATAGATGTTGTGGTTGGAAGGGACCTCAGTAGGTCATCAGTTTAACTAAACTGGTGTAATTAAATGTGTGTCAAGTTGCATGTGCACAGACAGTCTCAAGGTTCCTCAGGCCACTTAGTACTGCATTTTAATCCTTGAACACACACTAATGGTTCTTACAGTGCAGTTCTTGCTTCCCTGCTGCCCTGAAATATGGGGCACAATTGGGACATTGCCAGCCTTGCACAGTGTTCTCTGCTACTGTCTAAATGCACTTCCTGTGGGGCCTGCCAGAACCTAAACCCTGTACCAGCTGAAGGTCTGTGAATGGGCCAAAGATCATTATGCTGCGTAAAGAGCCTGCACTGCGTGCCCAGCCCATGCTACTACTATCCCTGCTGCTTGCTCTAGATGGTGCTCTTACAAAAGAGGCCCGGCGTTGTGAGCTCCCACTCCTTTTCTGCCTGGGACATTTCACTTTGTGTGCCCTGCTCTGCTGGGAGGCAAGTGGTGAAGCAAGAGAGCTGCCCTCTGAAATCAGGGAGGCAACAGTGGTGCTGCCCTGGGCTGAAGCCATTTCCCAGCAAACTCTGTCCCCTCCATAGTGCAGTCATTACGGGAGCAGCTTTGGCTATGCTGTATTCCCTGTGCAGACAGACGTTAGCCTTATTTCAGTCAGCTGTTTCTCCTGGCCATGCCTTTCTGATTGTTTTTACCTTTCAACTGGGAAACCCATCCATCAAAATCTGACATGCGTTTCCATGCCCACTCCCTGCTTTTTAGGGGTCTGGCATTGCATTGATTACACCGGGGAAAGGAGGCAGGTGCAGCATTGCAGCCTGGCTCTGGTTATTTCTGATCGTGTTGCCTCTATCTACCTGTCTCTGAGGGTCTGACTGAACTTGGATCAGCACCACGTCATTCCTATTTGGACTTCCTCACCCGTTCTGCTGCTTCATTAATCAGTGCTTTTTCTTTTAGCCAACAGATATTTTTAGAAACCTGAAGGGCAGTGACAAGTTAAGTGTATAACTGATTTCAGTTGCCTTGGTGGGATGTTCATTAACACTTGGTGGGAGGCAAATTGTGCTCCCTCTGGCGCAGCTAACCAAATCATGGATGTTGAAAAACTCGCACTGAACCAGAAGTTTGTGCAAGTACCATTTTTCTCCAGGGACCCCCTCCCCCTGCATTTTTCTTCAAGGTTTTTACCCCCATTTTTCTCCAAGTTTTCCTGCAGATCCCCTTCACTGAGCTGCCTCACTCTGACCCTTTTCCAGGGTGCAATCTTGAAACAACCAAACAATTAGGAAATTGCTCTGTGGCATTAAGCTCCTTCCTTCCTTTGAACCTCCTTTCTCCTCTGTAAGAGTGCTCTGGATGACATCTCAGAGACCTGGTAGCACTGGTCATTAATCTAGTAATTAGCAGTGTCACCTGGGGCACCCTAAGCAAACTGCCTGAGTGAGAAGGGTAGGCTTGCACATGGTAAGGGTGTGTTTAAACACTCAGTCTTAATCATCAAAAGGCTGGTCTGCACTCTAAAGTCTTGAAGTCCTAGCAATGCTGGCTTACATGTGAAAAGATCGTGCCCTAGTCCAGACACAGATACACAGACAGAAGAAGCTTCTGCCAGGTAAGCTAATGTGGTTTGTGGGGAGGTGATATATAAAAACTCTGCTAGAAGAAAACACTCGTCAGCCAGCATGTGCTAAGGGGCTCTCCTGGCTTAGCAATAGGCAGCAGCTCTGTGCTGCGGACGAGCCCAAAGGTAGCCATCTCGGATCCTATAACATGGCAGAAAAATCAACCTGCCGTAGTCCATGAGTCACACTGCATGCGAGGGAAAAGGATTGTAGGATTTGTGTCACAGGATGCTGCTCTCTGGGTATTTTGTGGTTGGAGGGGCTGTTGGCAGCGTTGAAAGGGGCTTTTCCTCTCTCTCTCTCTGCTGGGTAGCACAGCATGCGAGCAGTGTTTGTCGGAGGGCAGGAATGTGGTGGAGGAATCACCCTGATGCCGTGTGTCTGATGCTGCAGCTGGGGACAGGTGTGGTCTTTTCAGGTGCTTACGGATAGCAAGCTTGTTCAGTGCCCAGAGTGTGGGTGTATGCCAACTAGCGTTGTGGGGGGAGTCTTACCTGCCGCTGCTGTAGCCGTTGCATTGGCAGCAGCAGCAGAGATGGAGAGAGTCTGGTGGCTGCAGCCCTGTGTTGCAAGCTTCCCGGAGTCCTATTTGCTCCCAACCTAGATATGCTGCTGGGCCCAGGGCTGTGCCTGCCGATGTCATGAGAGCATCTTGCCACTCTCCCCCTGCCCACCAGATGCACAGCTGGGTGTGGAGCCACTCCCCACCCCCTGGTTACTACTTCACTCTGGCTCAGTTTGTAAAACATAGCATTTGTAGCTTCGTGAGTCTGTGGCTAGAAAATAATTGGAATATGAGACAATGGGAGAAAAATGAAGAGAATGAGTTCTCCCCGAGAGCTGCAATAAAATCTGTCAGGCTAGTGAGAGACCGCAGAGACATGGTGAATATTTGCGTCTCCTTTGTGTATCCAATGCTGATATAGCAACAATGGATAAAAACAGCCCCGTGTTTGGGTAGAGCCACAAACTCCTCATT